TACCTCACTCAGGATGATCATTTCTAGTTACCATCATTTGCATGCAAATTTCATAATTTCCTTGTTTTTAACTGCTGAGTAATATTTCATTGTGTCATTGTATAATTGTACCACAATTTTTGTATCCATTCCTCCATTGAGGGGCATCTGGGTTGTTTCCAGCATCTGGCTACTGCAAATAAAGCTGTTACAAACATGGTTGAGCAAATGTCCTTGTTGTGTACTTTAGCCTCTTTTGGATATATGCCTAGGAGTGGTATAGCTGGATCTTGAGGAAGCACTATTCCTAATTGTCTGAGAAAGTACCAGATTGATTTTCAAAGTGTTTGTTCAAGTTTACATTCTCACCAGCAATGGAGGAGGGTTCCCTTTCTCCACAACCTCTCCAGCATGTGTTGTCACTTGAGTTTTTGATCTTAGCCATTCTGATGGGTGTAAGGTGAAATCTCAGGGTCATTTTAATTTGCATTTCCCTGATGGCTAAGGATGTTGAGCTTTTCTTTAAGTGTTTCTCTGACATTCAATATTCCTCTATTGAGAATTCTCTGTTTAGCTCTGTACCTCATTTTTAATTGGATTACTTGATTTTTTTGCTGTTTAAGTTCTTTAGTTCTTTGTATATTCTGGATATTAGCCCTCTGTCAGATATAGGGATGGTGAGGATCCTTTTCCAATCTGTAGGCTGTCGCTTTGTTCTGACAACAGTGTGGACAACAGTGTCCTTTGCTTTCCAGAAGCTTTTCAGTTTCATGAGGTCTTATTTATTGATTGTTGATCTTAAAGTCTGTGTTGTTGGTGTTCTGTTCAGGAAGTTGTGTCCTGTACCAATGAGTTCAAGGTTCTTCCCCTTTTTTTCTTCTAACAGGTTTAGTGTGTCTGGATTTATATTGAGGTCTTTGCTCCACTTGGACTTTAGTTTTGTAAAGGATGATAAGTATGGATCTATGAAAAAAATTTCAAGTCTCTGAAGAAAGAATTAGAAGAATATATCAGAAGATGGAAAGATCTCCCATGCTCATGGCTTGGCAGGATTAACATAGTGAAAATGGCCACCTTACCAAAAGCAATCTACAGGGCTTAGGGATTTAGCGCAGTGGTAGAGTGCTTGCTTAGCAAGTGCAAGGCTCTGGGTTCAGTCCTCAGCTCTGGAAAAAATAAAAATAAAAATAACAAAAAGACCAAAAAACAAAACAAACAAACAAAAAAAGCCAAGGTATCCAAAAGCAATCTACAGATTCAATGCAATTCCCATCAAATTACCGATACAATTCTTTACAGACCTTGAAAGAAAAGTTCTCAACTTCATATGGAATAACAAGAAACCCAGAATCACCAAAACAATCCTCTACAATAAAATATCTTCTGGAGAGATCTCCATCCCTGATCTCAAGCTGTACTAAAGAGCAACAGTAATAAAAACTTCATGGTACTGGCATAGAAACAGAATGGTGGATCAATGGAATCGAGTAGAAGACCCAGAAATAAACCCACACCCTTATGGACACCTGATTTTTGACAAAGATGCCAAAACCATACAATGGAAAAAAGATAACATCTTCAACAAATGGTGCTGGTCTAACTGGATGTCTACATGTAGAAAAATATATAGTTTTATTGGAACAATCCACAACTTTGCACAGTGCTGCTTCCTTTATGCTGGTACAAAAGAGCCTAGTAGTTGGAACAAAGAGCAGACAACCAAAAAAATCTAAACTATTTACCAGAAATAACTTATATACAAGAAATGGTTTTCAAACTTCTGCTTTTTGCTGTTATCTGAAAAACTAATGTGAGAATTTGGAGAAAATCAAAAATACAGTCTATTCAGATAAGAAAGGCATCTTGGATGTGATTGTGTCTGCTTGGACAGCTCAAATTTACAGTGATGAGAGAAATTCAGGCTGTGCCTTTAAGGTTTAATGCATTTAATGCTTGAAAAGAATTACAAGAAGACATTTCTTGACATTTGAAGCTGTTTCGATTTCAGCTGCCTGTTATCTGACATTCCAAAATAAAATCACTAAAAATTTGCAGCCTGCTTACTTCAAAGATCCCATATGAGACCTGTGAGTCTCCCAATGCCCCTCTAACATACACACACACAAAAAAAATTGTTTTACAGATGCTATGGCTTGCAAAGCAGTGAAAAGTATATAGATTAGACACTTTGAGTATTATTATAAACTAAAAATAGCATCCAGGTCTCTTGCAAGCTTAATAACATAATCTTTCTATGATTAAGTTATCTTAGAAAAAGTTTAGATTGCAGTACCAATATATTGTATCTCATGTGCTCATCCATACAATCCAGTTTCTCCCAGAACCTGTGATATGCCTGGCACTCTAAGTGCCTACAGAATAGTTCATTGCCGAGCATCAGCTAAATTACAGTGTCCCGCACCCCTCACCAATGGTATTTTTACTTTTTATATATTTTCACTTTTAAGTGATATCAAAAACAGGTATACCCCCTCAATACTTTGGAGCTTATGATCAAAAAAAAAAAAAAAAACAAAGAATCCAAATACACACACAAATACCTGAAAGGTACATATCAAATATCATTACAATTATTTTGGCACATTTGGATTGCTATAGCAAAATGTCATAGTCTAAGTAGCTACATCCCTTTCTTTGTTTTGTTTTGTTTTGTTTGTTTGTGTGTGTGTGTGTGTGTGTGTGTGTGTGTGTGTGTGTGTGTGTGTGTTGTCTTTCCTTATGGCTCTGAACTCAATGCAACACAAGATCAAGGCACTGGGAAGATTCCATGTCTGATGAGAATCTGCTTCCTGGGTCACAGGTGAACCCTGTGTTTCACTGTGTTCTCACCTGTTAAAAGGCAAAGTAGCTTTGAAGTTTAAATGTCTTTGAGGCTTAAATGTATTCTTGGGAGTCCTACTTTTATAATCTAACCATTCCTCAGAAGCCTTGTATTCTAATTCTATCAGACATCAAGCTGGATACAGAATTTCCACATGAATTTTGAGAATGATACAAAGATTCAGCCCATGGAAACAGGATACAAACAAAGACCAGAGCATTTAGTAAGACAATGGCATCTTCAAATGCTAAGAAAGGCAAAGGAGGATGTGAGGTCTAAGGGAAGACCCAAAGGAAGAGAGCCAAGCCCTATTTTATGTAAGTATAATCTTTGCCACAGTCTTCACATCCTAGATTGTCAAGATATGGTATTTAACACTTGCCAAGATGGATGTTAGAATTATAACCCTTTTACACACACGCACACACACACATGCAAAGTTGCACATGAACAAATTAAAACTGAGTGATAATGCTGACTTATCCATTTGCTGTCTGAGAATGGTGGCCAGGCCTGGCTGGCTCCATTGACCAAGATATACTAACAAGCCTGCAAAGCTTCTGCATTGGGCCTAATTCTCAGGTTCTTCTCATGTGACACTAGACTACTCTAAAGAAAGCCACCTTCAAAGCCATATGGTTTTGTTTTAAGATTTCTAAATTCATAAAGAAAATGTCAAAAGCTGTCATTTAAACCAAGCTAGCCCTGACTCTGTAGCTCTCTAGCAACCCACCCTCATCACTAGTTCAGTTACTTTGCAAGTATCTTTGCTGAAAGGAAAACATCACCATCATTTCTTTGGACTTTCACAGATTCCAAAAACAGATCCTCACATTCAGTGAAATGGAATCATCCCTCTGGTTAGCTTGTCATGACAGGCAGCTCACTTCCTGGGAATATAAGACTGGACTCAGGAAGCCACACATAAGTGCTATAGGCCCCAAAGACCTCCCAAGAGGGAATCCGCTTGCCTTTTAGAGCAACCACAGACATGGAGAGACACAGCCACGTTTCTATTTGTGGTTATTTAATTGCCACTTGACATGTGAAGAATGGTGATGGGATGACAAGATGTGACCCTTGCGAGTCTAATGGCTCTTTGCGGGAACTCTCAACATGACCAGCGTTTCTGTCCACAGCAGCATCACCAATTCTTGCTCCTCTAGACACCAGCTTAGAATGGTTATGGGACAAGCAGGCCTAGATTCTATTCCCAAAGCTCCCATGACTATTTTGTCTGGGGCAACTTAATTATATAACTGTGTTTCTATTTTTCTACACCACATATAATGATTTTTCCTAAAGCACCATTCTCCCCTACTCTTAAGCCCAATACTAAGGCATATGAGTACACAGCTGATTTTTAAAATTTTTTAAATCATTTATTTATTTATTTATTTATTTATTTGTTTGTTTATTTATGTGCATTGGTGTTTGTCTGCAAAGGATGTCAGATGCTCTGCAACTGGAGTTACAGACAGCTGTGAGATGCCATGTAGGTGCTGGAAATTGAACTCAGGTCTTCTGGAAGAGCAGCCAGTGCTTTTAACTTGCTGAGCCATCTCTCTTCCACATAGCTGATTTTTACCAGTGGGACAATATTGGTTTATTAAACATTTAGGTGCATTTGGTTTTCTGTAAACAAAAAACTACCTCAGGCTCCCCAGGGAATCCCTCTCCCACATCTCCACAATCCAGGCACAGAAGGATTACTGACTGGTACATCCTAAACCAAACAGAGGCCGTAGCTGGTATTCTTTCTCATCTTTTGCTCAAAACACTCAAGATGTCTTCAATATATTTGTGCCTGAGTCCCACCACTGATTCCCCTGACAGGCTCCAGCAGTCAGCCATGCATATGGGGACTACTAAGTGAGAGCTCCCGTGCCCTGATGACAAACACCAATATACCCAAGGCCACAATCCCTTGGATTCATTTCTGTGTGGCCAGTTGTAAATTTTAGCCACCATGAGCCAGTACCAGCAAGAGCCAGAGAGAAGGGGAGGCAGCAGACAGGTGAGTCAGGGAGAGAGGAGCTGCTGTGGCCTAAGGCCAGCTAGGAAGCTTTAGTCCTGACTGACACTCCTGAATGAAAGAAATAATTTCCAGAGACCTGGGCATATCTTTTTGTATTTTACAGATAAAGAAACTGTAAACAAGGATGTATCTAAAATGTGAGTGCTCACATCAGCAGAACACATATTAAAACTGCAATGATGCAGAGAAGATTAGCACAGCACCTGCAAAAGGATGGCATACAAACTTGGGAAATGTTCCATATTTTTAAATACAAAAAAATTCAATCAAACAGGTGCTGGAAATGAATAACTCCCTTAATGAAATACAGGAAAATACAATTAATAAGTGAAGGAAATAAATAAAACTGTCCAAGACCTGAAAATGGAAATAGAAGCAGTAAAGAAAACACAGAGTAGAACATTGCCAAACTCATTTTATGAGGCCAGTCACCCTAATACCTAACCATACAAAGATCCCAACAAAAAAAAAGAATTTCAGAACAATTTAGAATTTCTCCTTTGTTAATATTCATGCAGAAATAGTTAATAAGATAGTTGCAAACTGAATCCAGGAAACACAACAAAAATATCATCTACCGTGATCAAGTAGGCTTTATCCCAGGAATGGCAAGATGGCTCAGTACATGAAAATCCATCAACATAATCCACCCTATAAACAAACTAAAAGAAAAAAGCCACATGATCATCATCATTGGATGCTGAAAAGACCTTGGATAAAACCCAACACCCCTTTGTGTTTAAAGTCTTGGAGACATCAGGGATACAAGGCACATATCTGAACACAATGAAGGCAATAGACAACAAGCCAACAGCCAACATCAAGTTAAAAGGAGAGAAACTTAGTGTTTCCACTAAAATCATGACAAGACGAGGCTGCCCACTCTGGCTATATTTCTTTATTATAGTATTTGAAGTTCTAGTTAGAGCAATAAAAACAAATAAAGGAGATCAAGGAGATACAAATTTGAAGAGAAGTCAAAGTATTGCTATTCACAGATGATATGATAGCATACATAAGTGACCCCCCCCCCAAGATTCTACCAGAGAACTCCTATGGCTGATAAACCCCTTCAGCAAAGTATCTGGATATAAAATTAACTAAAAAAAAAAGTCAGTGACCCTACTTTATACAAGCTACAAAAGGGCTGAGATAAGAAATTAGAAAAACAACACCCTTCACAATAGCTACAAATAATATAAAATATCTTGGTGTAACTCTAACCAAGCAAGTAAAAGAACAGTATGACAAAAATTTCAAGTCTTTGAAGAAAGAAATTAAAGAAGATTTTAGAAGATGGAAAGATCTCCCATGTTTATGGATCAGTAAGTATACTTAGTGAAAATGGCTATCCTGCCAACAGCCATCTACAGATTCAATACAGTTTCCATCAAAATTCTTTACAGACCTGGAAAGAACAACCATTAACTGCATATGGAAAAGTTAAAGACCCAGGAGAGCCAAAACAATTCTGTACAATAAAGGAACTTTTGATGGTATCAACATCTCTGATTTCAAGCTATTCTACAGAGCAATAGTAACGAAAACTGCATGATACTAGCATAGAAACAGACATATAGCTGAATGGAACCAAAGTGAAGACCCAGAAATAAACCCACACTCCTATGACCACTTGATTTTCAACAAAGAAGCCAAAGCCATCTTTTTGAAAGCATCTTCAACAAATGGTGCTGGTCTTACTGGATGCATTCATGTAGAAAAATGCAAATAGATCCAAATTTAACAGCCTGCATGAATGAAAGACCTCAAAATAAAACATGGATTCTATCATGACATGGTGTAATGAAAGTAACCAGCCACCTTTTGACTGAATTTAAGGCTCACTCACAGGAGGAAACACATGCCTGGTACTATAGATCTGACCAAGATCCCATGGATTGAAGCTTAGGAATGAACCTAATATTATGCTGCTAAAGGGACTTGGTATGAAGTAGGACTCCAAATTTGTATCTCTCTACTCACAGATCAGTGAAGCTCTCAATCCTTATTCAAGAAGTGTCTGTGTGCAACGGACAGCAGGTGCTTAACACAGAAACCCACAACTGGCCAAGGGGAAATACTCAGCCACAGTTGGGACACCAATTGTGCTATGTCCTCTTCCAAGGTCAGGGATAATCAGGACAGAGTGGTCTGCAACATTGTTAGAACATGAGGTTGGGAACGACCTAGGTGAAACTTTCCCCTGCACATCACAGGGCCTCTGCTATACACTCAGGTACTCAGAGAAGTTGTGGTTGGCTGCCCAAGACTAAGCCACTTAACATTCTGGCCTGGAGGGGAGAGTTCACAAGTCCTCAGCCCTCACTGAGGAGCTATGAACAGGTGGCAGCTCCTGGAGTAGGGAGAATGTTTTCTTTAAGGATATGGCTGCTGATGGGTAGAGAGTTCTCCAGTGGAAGGCCTCATACACAGGGATACACATGGACAGCACAAATTAAATTCAATGGATTAATGAAAAATGATGATGATGGTGATGATGATAATACACAAAGTTTAGAAGGATGGCGAGGTAGGAATGGATCTTGGAGGAATGAGTTAAAGAAAGAAGTGAGGGTGAATATGATCAAAATTAATTGTATAAAATTTGCAAAGAATTAATAAAATATTTTTTAAAGAAGAATATTTTAGTAACAGAGTATGGCTCCTTAGCATCACAGGTTGCTGCTTAACCTTCACACCACACAACCTCTCATTTGGCCTGAAGTATATTTTCAGCTTAATTAAAAATGACATTCCAGTAAGTGATTTTCATGACTTACTTGATAAGAAAGAATTTAGGTATATAAGGTTTTGGCAGCATTATGAAATCTAGGAAAGAATTTTAATGCAATTGCTTAGTTCAGCAGAAGCTCCGTGAGGTCTCAAAACCATGCACAATATTACCGGTTGGTTTTTTTTTTTTTGCATTTTTTTTATTTTATTAATTACACTTTATTCATTTTGTATCCCCCCATAAGCCCCT